TCAGAAGTTCAAGGCCATTCTGGAGTACACAAGATTGAACCAGTCTAAAAGAGAAACAAAGCCAAATGACAGGGGAGCTCAACTTCAATCCCAGCACACAGAAGGATCATGCCCTTAATCCCAGCACACAGAAGGATCATGCCCTTAATCCCAGCACACAGGAGGATCATGACCTTAATCCCAGCACACAGGAGGATCATGACCTTAATCCCAGCACACAGAAGGATCATGCCCTTAATCCCAGCACACAGAAGAATCATGCCCTTAATTCCAGCACACAGAAGGATCATGCCCTTAATCCCAACACACAGAAGGATCATGCCCTTAATCCCAGTATACAGAAGGATCATGCCTTTAATCCCAGCATAATTGAGAGGTGGAGACAGGAATATAAGATTTCTGGAATGGGTGGTGGTGGTGGTGGTGGTGGTGGTGGTGGTGGTGGTGGTGGTGCATACCTTTAATCCCAGCACTCAGGAGGCAGAGCCAGGTGGATCTCTGTGAGTTCAAGGCCAGCCTAATCTAGAGAGCGAGATCCAGAACAGGCACCAAAACTACACAGAGAAACCCTGTTTGGAAAAAACCAAAAAAGAAAAAAAAAAGAAGAAATCTTAATATAAAAATCTCAGTTCTAAGATTTTATAGAGGCAAGAAGTTTCTGGTGACTAGCTACTCTGCTTCTCTGAACTTTCAGCTTTTACCCTCAACATCTGACTCCAGATTTTTATTGTTAAGACTAATTAGGATTGTTTATCATCAGACATCCAACTTTGGGGGCATGAATTCACAAAAAAGCCACTTGCCAGTGGTTTTGTAGCCACTGGCACATGCTGGAGCTGAAAGTGTTTGCTCTTGTCTGAGTCACTGTCCCACCAGCTAGGTTTTTCTTTTTTTCCCTAAGCCCCTGAGTGAGTTTGTGATTTTTTGGTTGCAGCCTCTCTGCAGTGAATTCTACAGGAGCTTGGGCTCCAGATGCCATAGGAATTAGCTGCTATTGCATGGTCCCCTATGCAGACAGCTGGCTCTTTGGCTTCTTCTCCCAAGGTGGGTTGTGGGCTTTCACTGGACCTTCTCCTTGGGCTGCTGCCAAACTAGGTAGCTGCCTTGACACTCGCTCTGGCTTCTACTATTCTATGCAGCAGCAGTCAGCCTCACACTTCACTGTTATCTTCACTGTTGTCATCAGCAGATTTGGTGAGACATTGGGAATTCTTAAGGGGGGTTAGTTAAAAGAGAGAGGTTTCTCCCACATTATAAAATGGGAAAGACTATTATGATGGAAGGAGGTGTCTGTATGGTTATACAATGAATGGTTTAAAAATGGAACAATTAAATGAAGGGGTAACAACTTAACAGGGATATACATACATACATACATACATACATACATACATACATACATACATATATAATATTAATTATCATTTTGATAATCCTTATTGTTGGTTTGATAATTCTTGGTTTATCTCTAAAAAAGTTGGTTGATGTGAGTGCCAAGAAGCAGGCCTTAGAAAAACTTATTAAAAAAGATCATAGAGGGCTGGAGAGATGCCTCAGAGGTTAAGAGCACTGACTGTTCTTCCAGAGGTCCTGAGTTCAATTCCCAGCAACCACATGGTGGCTCACAACCATATGTAATGAGATCTGGTGCCCTCTTCTGGCCTGCAGACATACATGCAGGCAGATCATTGTATACATAATAAATAAATAAATCTTTAAAAAAAAGATCATAGAGATATTCAGACCCAGACAGAGGAACTTAAAGGAGAACCAACCTCAGCATTATACTATCAAATTAGAGAGGAACACCCCTAGGTTTTCAAACAAACAACCTTAATATATTATCTACTCACCTTACAGGAACAATTGCAAAATGACAGATATCCCTAAGACTGTGTAAGAGTTGACTAGATTCCTGTGAAAATGTTTGATTTGAGAAGATTAAAGGAAGCGATTGTTTCCTATGGTATGCATTCATCTTTTGTTAACAGATGTTAAATTCATGGTCAACTAGTACCAAAATTCTCCCACAAGACTGGCAAGACATGGCTATAGTAATATTGGAAGCTGGTCCTCAATTATAGTGGAGTACCTTGTGGAAAATAGAGGCCAGGACCATTGGACAATGAAATAGGGCTAAAAGTATTAAAATCTCCCAAGGCTGCTGTGGGATGTTCTGTATGTTAAATGTGTTGCTCTGATTGGTTAATAAATAAGACACCGAATTTTTATTCTTGGTTTTTATTCATTACTGTCCACTTCCCAGGATCCATAGACCAGAGCAATCAAGAATCTGGATAAAGAAATTACTTTATCATGTAATCAAATTACTATTGTTAAACTAGTTCAATGAAAATAGAAGATCTGGGTAAAGTGGTGTGGCCCAGTCAAACAGGACTGTTATTTTCTTGTTTAAAATGTATAGCCTCGGGGTGTGTGTGGGGGGAATGTAATACTTGATTTTCTCTCATATAAATCCCTATTTTCTGGAACACATGGCCAAAAATTCTGTTTCAATTTTTCAAAATAATTCCTTGTGATTATAACTACATCATGGCCACAGTCTCTTTCCTGCCTCCAACCCCACCATTGACTGCCTATGGTTTTCTAATTCATAGCCTGTTTTTATTTAACAATAGTTATACAGTAATAAAAGTTACTGTTTGAATGTGACCTGTGTTTGGCTGCAGGGCTTCCCAGCTATGAAGCAAAGGGTTGGCTGCACTGGAAAAATCAGTGCGTAATGAAATTAGTACAGAAAACATTGTGTGCCTTTGAAGAAGAACAGGAAGTGCTCTGGAAGACTAGAAGACTGTCCACTAAAATGCAGATTTTCCAGTTTAGGGCCCCTTCTGCCCCAAGGGTGAACAGATAGAGCTAGGAAGACTTCCAATGATTGTGTCACTTAATCTCTGAGCAGCCTGTAAGGGAACTGCTCCTCTCCTGAGTCCCCGCTGAATGGTATTAGCTAATGTGGGTCTCTGGGAAGTCTTAGCAATAAGGAGTACCAGTGGGAAATAGCTTGGAGATTCTTTCCAGGATTCTCCTCTGGCTTTGCTGTAGAGACCTGTGAGGGAGACCAGAAGCCATGCCATGGTGAGTGTGGCGACAACTGAACCCAGACCAAGAGGAGCAATTCTGCTGAGCTGTCAGAGTCAGTGTGACTGAGATAGACTCTGAGCCAGATTGTGGTTCTCTTGATCAATGTTGTGTGTCCTGGGCTGTGGCCCTTCTGCTCTGAGACTCCCTGAGTGTGAATTTCCTGGGGAGGGGGAGACTCTGATGACCTGGCTATGGGAGGATGCTGTTTGTTTGTTTGTTTGTTTTTGAGACTGGGTTTCTCTGTGTATAGCTCTAGCTGTGTTGGAACTTGCTTTGTAGACCAGCCTGGGTTCAAACTCACAGAGATCCACTTGTCTCTGCATCCTGAGATCTGGGATTAAAGGCATGCACCACCACCTGGCTGTTGTAATACTTTTAATATATATGTCTAGTGTGTATATACACAGGCACTGACTGCATTGAGTGTGCAGTGAGAAGTTGGATTGGATAACTGAAGCTCTGGTTTCTAGATGTCCTTAATATTGCACTCCAGTCTCAGGTTTGTCTTATAAATGTTACAATTGATTTAGAAACTGGTAGAAAGAAGTGATAGGGACATCCTTGAGCAACACTTGAGTAGCATGCTTTAAAATTTCTGCTACCAGAGTTTACTTGATTCAGAGAAGTTTAGTTCCAGGGGAAACAAAGAAGATTCTGAGCTGCAGAGATATTTCAGGTTTGCTTGTTGCTGGGCAGATGAATAGGGCAGATTCTACATCATGTGCCATAACACATGGGGCAGGAAATATACATTAAATTATTCTTCTACACTCTTTGCAATTGGGCATCAGTGGGGCTGGGTTTTCCTGAAACCACAAGGCGACATGAGAGTTTGAAGAGCCATAGCAGGAGATTACCTCCATTTGCCAAGAGAGCTCTGGAGCATGGGGCCTGTTGTTGGCTGTGTTGGCTCTTTTGCTGGCTCACCACCAGCTCCCACAAAAGTCACACACAGAGGCTTACTGTCACGTACAAATGCCTGGCCTTCTCTAGGTTTTTTTTCAAACCAGCTTCTCTTAACTTAAATTATCCTATGTACCTTTTGTCTCTTGTCTTTTTCTTTTCTTTTTTTACTTCTGTAACCTTTCTTTCATTCTTTGTCCATGGCTGTCTATGTGACTGGGTGGTTGGCAATTTTTTTTTTTTTTTTGCTCCTTGATCATGCTCCTCATGCTCCTTTTCTCTCTTGCTATTTATTCTCTCTGCCTGCCAACCCTACCTTACCCACCCTTTCTACTGCTTAGCTTTTGGCTATTCAGCTCTTTATTACACCATTATTTGTTTTAGACAGACAAAATAACACAGCTTCACACATTCAAACAAATACAACATAAAAGAATGCAATGCATCTTTGCATCGTTAATCAAATGTCCCACAACATAAACAAATGTAACACATCTTAAATTAATATTCTACAATAGAGGCCTCTCTTTTTGGAAGAAAAATCAGTAGCTGGAGAATCAGAAACATAACTGTTTAAAGGTACTTTGAGTTAATTTTGTGGGAATTGTGAACTCTGTGTTAATTTCTATATATATAGAATTATATGAAACTTGGTAACATTGGTCAAGAATACATCTTTTGTGGCTGAGTTTCCTTTGGTCTTTTGGTGAAAAGTTGACAATATTTTTCTGCCTTTGTTCTTACCTTTTTCTCTCTCCTTTATTCTTTCACAAATATTGTATATATTCTTGATTGTTTTAGCTTTGTGGTAAATATAGAAGTCAGATTATATTAATATATGTATTATCTTTTCATAATCTTATTTATCATTCTTAGATTTTCCGGTTTGTACCTTTGGAATCAGGTATATTATGTTATAAATTGTTTGGCATTTTCTTTGGATTGTATTCGATTCATGGTTTGAATTTACCATACACAAAATCTTAAAATTGATGCACCATGTTCCCATGGACCATTTATTTACTTCTTTGCTTATTTAGGTTTTGTTGTTATTGTTGTTAATATGTAAATGACTTTTATTGTATTGGATAAAAAGTTATATGTGGTTGTTTCAAGTGACATAGCATGTATTCTTCTTGGATATGACCTGAGTTCACATATCAGTATCAAAGTTTGTAGGTTTATAATCACCTGCTACTCCAGATCCTGGAGATCTAACACCCTATTTTTCTGTATGCCACCTTTATACACATGGAACACATTCTCTCACACACACAAACATTCATAAAATGTGGGGAAAAACTTTTTTCAAATGTTCTTGTGACTCATAAGCAATTAGAGCAAAACAAGTTGCTTTAGGTGTGTAATTCAAATCATATATTCTTTCTTTAAATATCTGTTATCTTGCATTTGATTTGGAATAGTTTTTATTTCCTCAGCCTGAAGAAATGAAATTTTCTTTATGATAAGAGAATGAGATACTTTTAGTAATCAAATCTATTTTCTACAAAGTTAAAACATCAGAAGGCTTCAAGTGAATCTGTCCAATTCTGTTGGTACAGCCATCCTCAAAATTCAATTTTCTATTATTAACAAAGAAAAAGTACTCAAGTATACAGGATGAGTGTTGGACAGTGATTTCTTGTGGTTAAATTTAGAATAGAATCTTGTAGTTCTTGCTTAAGAGATTGTGATACCTATATGTAGGTATGTCTTTTTTGTCTTGTTTGGTCAGTGGTACCATTTGTATTGACTTTATTAATTGTCATCTAAATTTATTGTTGTTTCTCTGGAAAATGATGGAACTTCACCATTTTTTTAAATGTACTATATTATGTTTTGAGTTCCTTGTGCTTTGGTTGGTTTGGGGAATTTCTGGGGACAGACAGCTTTAGTTTTCTCTTCTTGATCTTAGAGATTCACTTCTCGTTTCTCAATATATCTGTGTTGTCCAGTTGTTGCAATCTTCATGTTTGGATTTTTTTTGCTGCTTTAGTGCTTGATATGGTTAATTCATTATTTTTGTGTTTTTAAAACTTTCTCATGTATTATTGTGTCTTTGCCTTAACTAGCTTCAGCTGTCAAAATTATGTAGCCTGGAGTCATCTGAGGGAACATCAATTGAGGCTATGTCTAGATCAGAATTGCTAGTTACTGTGTCTTTGAGAAACTGTGTTGACTGATGATTGATGTGGAAAGAATCTTCTACTTAGGTTGCAATACCCTAATCATGTGAGCCTGAGATGGATTACAAAGCTAGCTGAGCACAAGACAGTGACCAATAAGAGCATCTTGCTTGGGTTATGAGCATCTATAGACTCAACCCATTTCCTCTTCTTGATTTCAATTGTGTTGTGGTTGAAACTCATCAGCTAGCATCCTTCTTGTGCTATAATGCCATCACCACCATTATAGACTATGTGTAAATCACATAAGATACAATAGAAGAAATTGATATTCAATGCTAAGGCAGTTTGCTAGCCTACTGCTTTAATTTTTTTGTTTGTTTTTGTTGACAAGATTTGTCTGTGTAGCCCTGGCTATCCTGAAAGTAGTTCTGTACACCCAGCTGTCCTTGATATCAGTGATCCACTTGACTCTGGCTCACAAGTGCTAGGATTAGAGGTGGCCTGAAATTCCTGGCTTTTTTTGTTTTTATATTATTGGGTGATGGGCCTGGAAAGCAGGTTTTTTGTGTATGTCAAGCGTATGCTGTTGTAATGAGCTTCATCCTTATCCTGAATTTTGAAATTTGGTAGATGGTATCATTCTGTCTCCCATGATAACATGTATTCATGACATACTGCCTGAGACTTCTGTCATTGGATTTCAGGTACACAACATTCTTCCTGCCTGTTGTGTTTGTTTTGAAAATTTTTAATGAATATGAGTATTTTACGTTTATGAACAGATATGCATCACATGGGTACCTGGTCATCACAGTGATAAAAAGATGGTCTCAAAAACTGTGAACTAGGAATAATGGATAGTCTTGATCCCCTATGTAAATATTGGCAATTACCTCCACTTGTATGCAAGACCAGCATTCTTTATTACAGAACCATCTCTCCTGCCCCATGTTGATGATTTATTATCAACATTCATACTGCTAATGTTTTCATCTGTTCATTTGTAACTGTTTAAACATGTGGTACCTTTTAGTAAGATCTCAATTGATGTTACAGATTAAAGTGGGGTATTTCAGCTTTCTGGAAGATGAATACAGAAGCAGAAACTTCAGTAAATAACCTCTAAGTTCTTCCTATATGTTTTGTTTGTTTGACTGATTTTTGCACAGAAGATGGAATTCCAATATGGACTTCTGGCTCTCCAAGAACTGATTGCATATATTAGGCTAGCATGCAACCCAGAAGCAGATTTACCTGCCTCTGCTGCTGAGTGCTATGGTTAAAGTCATGAGCCAATATACCCAGCTTGTCCATCTTATTTTTCTTTTTTGTGCTTAGCAAAATAATTTTTCTTATGTGTAGTCTGTGCTGTTGATCTGTTTACTTGTTTCTCTATGTTTGTTAATAGACATTTGTGTTGCAAGGTCATATCCCATTCATAGCATACAGAAATGACAGGGTTGAGCCTCCTATTTAGTTTCATTCCAGAGTTACTTGGTGATCTGAATATAATGTCTGTGTCATGGAATTAAATGTGTGGAGCACTGCAATTTTATGATTATGCTGTCAAAGAGGTATACACTTGCAATGTTGTTAATACCATGCTTTCTGTTGTACATATGTATGGGATATTTCAGAATGCAGTGACCTATGATGATGTGCACATTGACTTCACTTGGGCAGAGTGGACTTTGCTGGATCCTTCCCAGAAAAATCTCTACAAAGATGTGATGCTGGAGACCTACAGGAACCTCACTACTATAGGTAAGACTGAATTTTCCTTCATGTAAAATAAGAGGGCTACTATTTCTTGACTATTTATTTTCTCCTGCAATTTGATTGAGAAAGAAGAATGGGATGAATAAATCAGGCATGGATCTAAGGTTCCTTGAAGATAGTAACAAATTTTGCACAATTTCCAATAATATAACATACATTTCCTGAAACTATATTTTAGGATACAGCTGGGAAGACCATGATATTGAAGATCATTGTAAGAGTTCTAGAAGACATGAAAGGTAATTTTTATTTGCAAACTGATACAAATGTGCTCTTGAAGAAAATGTAATGTGTTCCACAAATTTCAAAGAAAGACAACAGTGTAAATAATAAGGCTTAAAATGTATTGATGGTTATTAAATTCTCACAACACCATATGCCTCAACTTCGGGGAGGTCAATTACATTTGCAAGGCATTCTTTTAAGCAAGAAAACAATGCCTTAACAGATGTCACCATGTGAATCAAAGTCCCAGGAGTGTTATGCTGTAGAACTGCCCTCAATTTAGTTTTATACCACTCATTTTACAAAGATGAAACACAATGAAAAAGTGCTAAGTATATGTTAAAAACCTTCTAATAAGCAAATAGTCCATATTAAAGCTAGTATTACTCTTATACTGTTTGTGACTTTGATAAATTTAGTTAGGTGAGCACTTAGAGTCAAGAATCAAGGGCTTTTGTGGAGAAACATTAATCCCTATATCACATGTCTATGAGAAACAGAAATTCAAACTGTGAGTTCTATGAAGAAACCTTTATGTGTCATTCTTCTTTTACTATGTATGTCATATGTCACTCTGGATACAAGCCATATGAACAAAGGGATATAGAATGATGTAATGTACTTCTCAGAAGTATTAGAATATTTGTAGCACTCCTCACATTAAGTAGACCTGTTGAATTTGATTCAAGTATACAAGTAATTGCTTTTCTACCTTTACTCTTAACACATCAACAATCTCACACTTCAGAAAAGCCCTATGCATACTAGGACTGTGTAAATCGTTCTGTTTGTGATACTTCACTTAGAAAACGTAGTATGACTTATAGTATAGGAAAATCTATGAAAGCAATAAATGTGGTAAAGCTCTGAGTTTTTCCAGTTTTCTTGAAATATGTGAAAAATCTCATGTAGAAAAAGGTCTTATAAATGTGAACTATGTAATAAAGGCTCTTAGCATCATAGGTATCTTCAAAGATGCAAAACAACCTCTAATGAAGGGGAATAACATGAGTGTAAAGACAGTGATAAAACCTTAATATATGATTCTGCTTTATAAGTGAACCAAATTATAAATTAATTCATTCAGATATAAAGATTCAACAGTGTATTGAATGTGGTAAAGCCTTTACATGTGCCAATTATCCTTGCAGGCAAGAAAGAATTCATATTGGAGAGCAATCTTCTGAACATACTGAATGTGTTAAAGCCTTTGCTCATCACTATACTCTTCACAGGCATGAAAGAACATATACTGGAGTGATGCCCTCTGAATATAATCAATGTGGTAAAGCCTTGGCATATCACAGTAATCTTGAAAGGCATAAAAAAGCACAAACTGGAGAAAAACCATATGAATGTGATCAGTGTGGTAAATGTTTTGCATATTATAGAAATCTTCAAATTCACAAAATAACACATAATGGAGAGAAATCCTATGCATGTAATCAGGGTGGTAAAGCTTTTGCATTGCAAAGAAGACTTCAAATACATAAGAGAACACATGCTGGAGAGAAACCCAATGAACGTACATGGTTTGGTAAAGGCTTTTCACAACTCAGTGTTCTTCAAGTGTATAAAAGAATACATACTGGAGAGAAACCCTATAAATGCCATCAGTGTGGTAAGGACTTTGTATGTCAAAGTCATCTTCGAATACATAAAAGAACACATACTGGAGAGAAGCCCTATGAGTGTACTCAGTGTGGAAATGCCTTTGCACTTCGAAGTAATCTTCAAAGACATAAAAGAACACATACTGGGGAGAAACCATATGAATGCAATCAGTGTGGTAAAGCATTTGAACGTCACAGTAGTCTTCAAATGCACAAAATAATACATACTGGAGAGAAACCCTATGCATGTAATCAGTGTGGTAAAGCCTATACACGTCACAGTGGTCTTCAAATGCACAAAAGAACACATATTGGAGAGAAACCCTGTGAATGCAATCAGTGTGGTAAAGGATTTAATTATCACAGCAGTCTCAGAATACATAAAAGAACACATACTGGAGAGAAACCCTATGAATGTAATTGGTGTGGTAAAGGCTTTTCACAACTCAATCATCTTCAAGTGCATGAAAGAACACATTCTGGGGAGAAACCCTATGAATGTAATCAGTGTGGTAAGGACTTTGTATGTCAAAGTCATCTTCGAATACATAAAAGAACACATACTGGAGAGAAGCCCTATGAGTGTACTCAGTGTGGAAATGCCTTTGCACTTCGAAGTAATCTTCAAAGACATAAAAGAACACATACTGGGGAGAAACCATATGAATGCAATCAGTGTGGTAAAGCATTTGAACGTCACAGTAGTCTTCAAATGCACAAAATAATACATACTGGAGAGAAACCCTATGCATGTAATCAGTGTGGTAAAGCCTATACACGTCACAGTGGTCTTCAAATGCACAAAAGAACACATACTGGAGAGAAACCCTGTGAATGCAATCAGTGTGGTAAAGGATTTAATTATCACAGCAGTCTCAGAATACATAAAAGAACACATACTGGAGAGAAACCCTATGAATGTAATTGGTGTGGTAAAGGCTTTTCACAACTCAATCATCTTCAAGTGCATGAAAGAACACATTCTGGGGAGAAACCCTATGAATGTAATCAGTGTGGTAAGG